ACACTCTACCTCTGAACTTTTTCCTTTAACTTTTCCCCTTTGTGCATTTTGCATTTGTTCATGGCACTGTTCTATAAGTAAGGCTGATAATACATAAAGCTTTTTAACTCGCAAAGGCTTTGTCCTTTTCTTTGCCTCTTCATCTGCAATCTTAAAAAACAAAACCAAGGAATTTAATGTAGATTTAAAAAAAAAAACCCAAAAAACCCCAAAAAACCAAACAAACCCATTAGAAGAGTCGCTTCATTCTCTTGGACAATTGCATGCTTGTACAAACCTAGGAAGTCATGCCAAAAAACGATTCTGCATTTAACTGTAATAATTTAGACTGCAAACAGAACTATAAATGAAAACGTCAAAGTGAAGAATGCACATTATCCTATATTTATTTAGCTAACAAGTATATGAAGCCAGATTCTTGGGAAGGATAAGTCAGTGTAACCATGTATAAGTCTATTGACTTAATATAAAAATAAACTAAAAAATAGTGATTTTTAAACACTGAAGTTTGAGAAATACGTAGCTTTCAATAAGGTCTGGTGGGTTTCCCAGAAAAGAAGAATGGCTTTTGAAAGTAACACACACACACAGACACACACACAGACACACACACAGACACACACACATTTTACAATAAATATTTGCTGTAAAAACTACATGTCACTCTTACAGACTTTATAAGCTATGTACAGAAATCTCTGCAGCCAAACCAAATCTAAGCAACATCTTTATCTTAAAAGCACACCACAACAGTTTCTAATTGAAGGTACCAATTGAAGAAATACCAAAATTTAACTTCTAGTTAATTATATTGCTATTTTTAAAAATAAAGGAGATAAAACTAATCCACACAACATATAAAATAATGCGGATGTTGCACCCAGACCGATCTGCTACACTCCTTTACTAGGCAATGCAGGGCAACAAGACTTTTCTGAGGTGCAGTTGATCTCATTCTGAAGTGAAAGTCTCAAAATAAATGTGATGGCTTGTGTCCTGAAAGTCTCCTCTCCACTGGCTACAGAGGACATCCAGGGTAACTATTTCAGATAGAGATAGCTGAACTTAGGAGTTGGATTCATCTTTGCAATATCCTGTATAATGACAGCTGCTTATTGCCTGGACATTGTTAACACTAATATAACCCCAAGAAAATGAAAGTAGCATGGAAACAGTAAAAGCTAGTCCAAAACCCCAGGTATTTGACATAAAAATAAAACCTGCAATACCTTGAACATGAGCTTAGCAGCTTCAAAGAAATAATTGGCTTTACGATAGAGTTCTATAGCATCAAGGATTTTATTCTTTTCCAGTAAATGACTTGCATATCTGGCTAACAAGGATCCAATCTCTTTCATATTGTGATTTTTAGCCAGCTCCACAGCTTTATTCCACTAGAAATGAAAGCAGACAATCATCAACCTCATTTTTTTCAAATACATTCTCAGAACAAGCTGGTTATCCATGAATAGTCTGCAACATTTGTGTGCAATACTTCACCATTTAGAACCAGGCTACTATAAAATTAAAGTAAAAAGCAAGAGAATACAAATGCTAACATCATTGCCAATCATGTGACACAGCAGGCCTGTGAAACAAATGCTGGACCTCTGTCCAAAACCACATACAAAGCAGTTGCTTCTGCTTTGGTAAAAGCTTTGCACAATCACTTCATTGATGCTCATAGCTGGACGTGTGGATTTCAACACTTCTGATATGACTAAAACCCAGACTCTCAAAAGCATGTCTAGAAGAGGACTTCAGCTGATAAGCTTAAGGCACAAACAGTAACACTTTATTTATCCTTCTATACGCTTCATTTTGTCTGTCAGTCTTCCTGATCTTCAACAGTTTGGCTACTGTGTTTGCCCCAGATCAAAAGTTTGGCAGGACTGAGAAATGTAGCCGAATCTCATACCTAATAGCCCTTCAGATCCATAAACTAGACACTCCTGCCGTACTCGTACCTCAAGTTCCTCACAGCCATCCTCAGTTTCTCTCTTATTTCTGTTGACACAAATGTTTGCACAGGTAAGTCATACTGGGGAATGGCTCTAGCTGTAAATACATAGATCATTTTTCAGATCAGTTGTTTTCCAGCTACATCCTAACGCAGCCACAAATACATTTGCATCTGTACAAGGAAGGAGGGGGTTGTGGAAAATGAGCAGCCAGAAGCTCTCCAGACTTCCTCCCATTCCATGAGAAAGCAGCACAGCCTGGCTCTACAAAGGCCACAAACGTCTGTGTGCTGAGCATGCTTACCACAGACACACACACGGGTAGCACTGCTGCATGTAGCTTTGTTCCTCCAATGGTCTAATCCTAATTTCAGGTAACTGGCTTAAGCACTGACATAGGAATTTTCCAGAAATCATGACTAATCATCAGACACTTAACAAGCACTTCTATTTAACTGGGCATTAGGATAGAAATCTCACTGTTAAATTGGTATTGGTAAAGCAGATTATCAACTGCTGTTTTACCTGGTTAAGATGTACACAGGTATCTACTGCATCCTTTGGTCGATTACATTTCAGAAAGGCTGACACAGCTTGTTCACACATCCCCACTCTTACAAACATATAAGCTATATCCTGCAAAAAGCATCAGCACCACGTTAAATTCACTTCCAGATTTTTAGTACATTGTGTAGCAACTGCGATGCTATTATATTCTTGTTTAATTTAATTCCAAGAAGTTGGAGGAAGGGGGTTGTTTGCTTCATGGATTCCGTAAAGACAACACGCACTGCTGTAAATCTTTAGAAGTGTGCTACTTTCACATACTCCTGCTAAATTTAAAAAAAAAAGTGCTGTTTAAAAAATTTTCTTTCAAATCAAATCATACCTTGTTCTTACTATTTAGAGTATTTCACAAAACTTCACTATTAGAAAGAGGTTAAAAAAGAAAGTGCTATGTCTTGCTTTGTTCAAACAACTGAAAATGGCATTAAGTGACCATGTTTTGCATTTTTCAAGCATTTTGGATTAATCAGTCATACCATAGTTTTACATTAGCTGTTACTTACTAGGTCATTTCAGGCTATACCTCCTACTTTCATCAGAGTATCTTCAATTTTCACTGTACAGTAGCATTCCCACCAGAGATACCATGTAAGAAGTTAAACCAGGGATAGCAACCAGGAAAAATTTGGGGGAAAAAAAAAACCAGTGTAGACTAGAGAACAAATGAAAGCTAGAGTAAGTGTTCAGCCAAGAGGAGTGACTTCTTAGTGAAGGATAGCTATTTTAGAGAGAAATGCCACAATCAGGGGAGGGAAGCAGTGAATTATGGACTTAGCCATGTGGCCATAAAGCATGATGAATAATCAGGTCTTTCTGAGGAACCTGGACAATAAAGGAAAGGAAGAATGATGGAGTATGAAAACAAGAGTAATATTGGAGATTAATACCAAAGTAACACCATTATGCTTAAGTGAATAGGTCATATACTGCATTCTTTCTCTCCTTCTTTCTTAATCCTCCCAAGATGGGAAATTTTAAATAAATAGTTGAGCATAAAACAATGAAAAATAAAGGTGTTTTTTGCTTACAGGGAGCAATTTATTATTCTCTGGAAGCGAGTTAGCTAGATTCTCCAGTCCTTGGTAGTCCTCTAGCATATAGTAACATTCAGCTAAACGTTCCTGGTTTCGACCTTGTACATAATACTGTACAGCATTTAACCTAATAAGAAAAAAAAATGTGATATATAAATCTGATATATAAACATAAGTGAAGCTTCTCATTCTAAGTTTTAACTTTCAGAGATTGTTATATTGAAGTAGTAGCAAGATTGATTCTCTGACTAGCATAAGATTAGGAAGTCAAGGAATCTTAAAACTGTATTGCCACATCTGTGCAGATCACAGCTGATAACGGACAACTTCCAACTAAACATTCAGAAAAGGGCTTTACTGTTGTGCTTCCATATTTTAAAACACAAGCACTATGATCTCCAAGACTATACTGCAGAGTTACCGAAGGCATCTAAAAATCAACTTTCAAAATCTAATCACAAGTTTTCAGCTGCTTCAGGACCCAAGTTCTTTGTGATAATATAGTTTGGGTAATTGCACTACATAGTGGAGCTGTGGAACTCTATGAGACACACTGTTCTGGATGCTAAAAGTTCACATGGGCTTAGAAGGCAACAAGAGAAGTTCATGAAAGAAAATTTCTCTGCAAGTTATGAACTACAAAGACGTCACTTCTGGCTCAGTAAGTACCTGACTGCAAAATGTGTTCTGGAGAAATACTATTACACGCATACACTGTTCTTAAAATCTTCCTTGGGTGCGCAGTTTGGGCAATAGCTGGAGACAGATCCAGGTCAGAGAGAACTCTGGACATTTTTAAATATTTGTGGGTTTAAGCACTCTAGAAAGTTTGTGTTAGTTTTGAAATTCACTGATGTTTAATAATTCCCTCCTACTTTTTAACTGGATTTTTTTTTTCTTTAATACTTTCTATAACCAGCCTAATACAACTGTATATGTATAGGTATTTCTCCTCCCTCCCCCCCCACCCCCCCTGCTTTGAAGCAAACAGACTTCTGGCAAAACTGAGATTTTTATCACCTTCATTCTTTATACAGTTGATCAACAGCTCTCTGTTTAAAGGTACATGCAGCGATGGAACCATAAAGGTCTGAGCTAAATCTCATCATTCCAAAATTATCCCATGTATTGCATCCTGACTTTCCTGACATCTGTCCCTCCTCATAAATTAAGTCTTGGTGAAACTGTCACCAGTTTTATCATTTTCTTTGTAATTTCCTTCTTACTAGGTCCTCTACAGAACATACCATTTCTGACGGTCTGCAAAATAATCTCCAATAGCATTGTGTGCTTGTTCAAGAAGGGCATCATCTGAAGCACCTGAGCCAGTTTTCAATAGCTGCAATACTCGAAACCAGTCTCCCAGTTTTATCCGTAGTCCAATGGCAAGATCTCTAATATAAACAGAAAATAGCAGGAAAAAGTCAAAGACGATAAAATAGCTAACAAAAATCTTGAGAAAAGCATACAAAAGTATTTTCATGTTCATAACCTACATTGCAAGTATCACAATGATCCCGGATAGCTTGTTTACAATTTAAACAGTATTCCATAAAAGCAAATGCTCAGAGAGCTCACAGGTTATATCATACGTATGCACTTCCCTATTAGCCATACTCTGTTGTGAGGAGTTAAATGAGCAGCTGTCGAGACAGTTGGGCTGATGCTACTTCAGGTTTCCTCTTATTCCATATACCATTCTTTAGCTTTCACTGCTGACAGCTACAATAGATGGCAGCAGCTGCAAAAGGCTAAAAGCAGAGGGAGATGAGGGGAAAGACCAAGGAGCAAGGAATACGAATAATGGAGGCTAAAGCCGAGATGTAATAAAATAAATTTCAGAGACTTCTCTTTCAGATTCAAGATGACTTTGGATCAAGGAGAAAGGACTCAGAAGTAGTCTTTCCTTTTTATTACTCTTGCATACATATGACCCACCATGTGTCTGTCTGGCACGTTTTTTCCACCATATAGAATAATTCTATATTACTTCATATAGAACTAATTCTGCAGGTGCATAGAAAATAAACGGGAAGAGATCTATACACTTCTTTTAAAAATGCCCTAAACTTACAAGTGAGTTAAGGAAGGCAATAGCAAGTCAGTGCAGTCAGCTAAATAAGAGCATCTGTCTAAAAAATTTAAAATTGTATTTGAAAAATAGATTTATTTCAGCCTGATTTATGGTAGGTCCTTATCAAGATTTTTCTAGAGGTGAGGAGCCACATAAGGTCAATACAGAATTCCCATATTCTTGTAGCTGAAGAATAAGATGTTCTACTGTTGAAGACGCCAGTAAAAAAAAAAAAAGTCTTTGACTTCTGCAATCCTATAATGGCCAAATTTCTCTTCAGCCATGTGGAAAGGAATGTGCCATATCTAAAAATCTGTGTTGCAGTGCAACTGAAGTGCGTATGAGGCAGTCCACCTCTCCAAACCAGCATACTTCCATTGGCTAATTAATTACGTGCAAGAGTTTTCTGTTACGAGGCTCTAATATGCATCTCTCCCCAGCTCCTGCCTCCTCCCACCTTACTGAGGAAGAGGAAGGTTTCTCATTCTTACAGCATGAAAGAAGAAATAATTTCTTCTCCATCATTCCCTACTTTTTTTCATGGGTCCATTAATCAAAGCTTAAAAATTTCATGTGTGCATAAGTGATTCATGCTTCTCCATGTTTGACTACCACCTACAGGCTACATCATCAACTGCTGCTTATTATTTCTCATTATCCTTTTTTCAGTAAAGATGGTGCTCTACCTAATTACTTAGCATTAATTTATTTTTCCCAGTAATATTGTAATTTTGCTTTGTTTGTTTTCATTCCTGAGCAAAAATTCCATTGATTGGTCCACAATTTCATCCAGAGTCCTTTCTGTTTCTCCAGAGATTACAGTTCATTAAAAACTGTGGTTTTTGTATATGTAATTAGAAAGAATGTGTACTTCGCCACTAGCTAAGAGCAACAGTACATAAATTAAGCATTAGTGAAGATTGTTTGTTTGTATTTTTGAAATCCCAGTTGAAATACCGACAAAATACTTGGAAAAAACATCTATGAAACACAGCACTACCTAGAGCAGCTGAGGTTTTGCAAACAGTTTGGAATGTGCTGATTTACATATAGAATTGGTCATCTATAGATACAACAAAATTCTCTCTATCTGATCCTTTTCTGTCTTTCCAGAAACTGGTAAAGAGTCTTCAGTGCTAAAACAGCCATTCCATACTAAGGCAAGAGGTTCTTTCAGACCCTTTTTATTTATTTGCTGCTGAGATGACTACACGCAATTACCTTCTGTCCATATCCAGATACATTCTTTCAGCTTCTTCAAATCTGCTAAAATAGGCTGCCACTTCCGCTTGCTTCATTGATTCGCTCTGCAGGTTGCCTAGACGCTTCACAAATTTAATACCTTGATAATCTTTGCAACGTACAAAAGCTTGTTCAGCAGTCTGCAGATCCAGCTTCTGAAGAGCAGCTTCAGCCAGGAGACGCCTGTGTGAAAAACAAACATAACAGATGGAAAACCAGCTATAAAGTAAATTAAATGAGGATCCATTTAACTAGTCATTATTTAAAGACGACATTCAAGTTACTGCAATTGTATTGTTTGTTTGTCCCCAGTATGTTCTGTGATCTATCCATTACTTGCTCAGGGAATGATGTTCAAATAATTGCTAATAGTCTTTTGTTCAGCTCTTCAAATGGACACTGGCTCGGGAGGCATGGGCAGGGTTTGAGTATTACAGTTGTCCTATGTGAAATGAGTTGCTGGTCTCGATGCAGTTCCATTTAGATATTTCTACCTATGCATCTATCGTAACTTTATGCCTTAATGGCAGCCTCAGTCTCATGGCAGGCTCAGTTGGAGCCTCAGCCTCCAACCAAATTGGCCATGAAGAATAAATTATCTTTCTAGTGCATCTGGATGTTCCTTGTCCAGTTAGGACAGCAGACTGGGAGAGCAGGGCAGTTTGGGAAACCTTGTACTGGTACTGCCCCATTGGTTAGTTCTGCAGATAGAGAATTTCTACCTTCAGGCCAACCTATGTCCAGAAGGTGCTTGAATGAGCTCTAGAATTTTCTGAAAAAATAAGGCTAGGTAAATTTAGACTGGCTGATTGACATTGTGAAACAAAGTCAGTGCAGTAGGGCACTGACAAAACCAATAATATTGTTGTTGTATTCACTGACCTAAGCCATGCTTCAGTATCAACGCAGTATTTTTGAATCAATTTGGGAAGGTTAGTATCACTACAACTCAAGTGCTCATCACTGACATCAGTGAAACGAAGAGAAAAACAGTATGGCAAATTCAATCAATCTGTGACACACATCATCCTGTTTGTTGCATTCTAGCAGTAAGGGCACTGTCCCATTCTGATCTAGAATATATTTGCCTTATATCCAGCACTTCTAATCCATCTCTTCTGTGTAAGTATGTGACATATCGTATGTTTCCTTGCATAATGAAAATTAAGTTCATGGCAATTTTGGAGCAAGGTGAACAGCATTTGACGTATATTTTTTGATTTTACAATATAAAACTTTTACTGAGACACTGACTTTCAAAACTAATAGTCGTTTTATATTAAATAAATAGACGGTACTAGCAAAAAGCATGAACAACTTAAAAACTGCAAAAATCTTCAGCTAGTTCAAGACATTAGTAAAAATGAAGACTCGCAAAACTAACTTTTACCCTACATACTCAAACTAATAAAATTACAGTACTATTGCAGAAACTTTCAACATGTAGCTATCAAATCCTGTTTTTCAGAATGTGCATTCTACAGACAAAAGCACAGCTGGGTAGGAAGGAATGCTTTTTGGAACAAACTTTTAAAGCAAGTTGTCTTGGCCAGTCTTTCAGCAGTTGTAAATTCCCTTCTGAACTGTGAGAATTAAGAGAACTCTCAACCCCCGTTGATGCAAGCCAAACATCCCATACTGCAACAAATTAGTTAGCTTGAAAACAGAGCCAACATTACTAAAGAAAGGTACAGGTAGAGAAAAAAATCTCCAGAGAGTTAAAAAGAATTAGTATCATTCAACAAGTAACTTATCAATGAAGTTTTAGTTTCTGCTACTGACCTTTCATTAAATTATCTACTGAGGCATTTACTCTTCCAGCCCTTACGACACAGGATGTTAAATAGATTTCCAGAATTGTTTTCACAGGTTTATTCTTACACGTTTGCTGTGCAGGCTTTGTTTACTTTAATAGCTGAGTCCATGTTTGGTTTAAACATGCCAACATCTTGTTTTCTTAAGTACCCAGCCCTTCTCATTTCTGTCCTTTCTGGCCTGTCCAAAATGCTACAAGGTCAGTCAACTGCCCTTATCCTGTGATCATTCTAATGTGCTCCCTTTACTGGGTTTTAAAGATCTTTGTCATCAAGGTTCAATACAAAATATATAAATAAATAAATGCCCTCTCAACTTATGACCAATTTGAATTTTAATTTAACCAACTTAAAGTTAGCTTTCTGCCAGCTTTTTTGTTTCCTTTAGATTTGCCCCTAAAGCAGGAAGCACTGTGTTTTGGGGCTCACACAGCATAGAGCAAAAAGGTGTCCTGAGCCTGTACCCTATACCCACTACCATGACACACACAGCATGCCTTCCATTCTAGGTGCTACAACATTCATAAAATCATAGAGTTCTAATTTAACAACGGCCCACTTTTTTGGGTTCAAGAACTAGGAGCCTGGGGAAGCACTGGCCCTACGTTCTTTTTCAAGATGGCTGCTGAGGAGTCTTGAACACTTGGCTCAGCATCTCCCGAAACATGAATTCTCGAATGCTCAGGAACAAAAACCTCAGTTTCTTGCACTCTGGGAAATCGTAACGCCACACAGCTTGAAACTGCCCATACACGCCAACTGCAAAAGAGGAGCCAGGCTAGCAGCGGACTGCAAGGCTCTCTCTGGGCCTTCCCTCAAGGCTGTAATATCCTCTGGAGGTGATGCAGCCCTATAAAGAGACATTCTCAGTTACAATAGCAGCCCTTCAGATTGCAGCTGAGCACTGTTCCTTTTTTTTTTTTTTCCCCTCTTTTTCTTTTTCTTAAATGATTCTGTTTAAAGTATATACTGCTTTGGCTGGTTTTGATTTGAGGTTTGTACTTTAATACTAGATCTGTCTGAACAGGAAAAGAATACAAAAGAACACAAATTCAAGCAAAGCTGGCTTATAAAGAGATTTTACCAAAGTCTGGGATGTGGATTGTCTTCTATGAATTGGGAAGATTCCTCAATGCCAACTTTTTCAATCAATGCTCGACTGTCTCGCAATGACCGAATCTCGAAATTGATGATGTAATCTTTGTTAGGATGTTCAGGATTCTAACATAATGGATAAAAAAACATAGTTTTATCCCATGTCACCTTTATTTTCACCCAACATAGATATCTACTGTTCAAAGCATGGACAGAAACCAACTTTTCCTACAAAATAAAATTAATTATACCTACCTTTAATATTTCATCCAGAAGAACAGATTTGATTTCTAAGTCTTCAAAGTTGCAAATATATCCAGAAGTTTGTATAGGTTCCTTAAATAAGTTACAAAGGAATGAACTTAAATTCTGTCTGATTAAATCCTAACCAAATCTGTTAGGTATACATAAAGATACTTTCTTATTCTCCAAACTAGGATTTAATTGCATTTCCAACAGGAAACAAATACTAAAATCATTAACATTATTGACAATTCCGTATACACAGACATAATTAAAAATTCTCATGTTTTCTATAACTAAATTATGAGAAAGAGATAAAGGAACAGCTGCCAATATTTAGATTCAACTGAACTGTGTTTTATAAATATCTTTACTAAAATTGTGTTTATATTTTCCAAAGCATACAAAAAATACGCTCCTGAAAATACCTCATACATTTAAGAAAAATATGACAGCATTTTTATCTTTCCAGCACTGATAGTTCGTTCACTTAATTGTTCCTAAACAACACTCCCACATTAGAGTTGACAAGATTTTGAGATTCCCAGAAGCAAGTTTGTTTATTTCTATAAACACTTGCCTAATTGAACAGTAAGCACAAGAATACTACTAGTCAACATAGAGCCATTAACTTCCGAGCGAATTTGTAAAATGCATAGTTTATGTATGATAATATTTACCTCCGGATCCAAGTTTCTGAAAACATACATTCTTGTTTTCTCCATCATTGCAAACAGATCTGGGTTATCTTTGGCCCATTTCATATCCCAGACATCTTTGCGTTCCAGTTTCAGCTGCTCACCTATCACTTGCTGTCCTGTACTGTCTACTACCCGTGTATCCAAGTCAAAGAAAGTCAAAACACCTGAAAGGTCTATGATAGCAACACGACTACAGAAAAACAAAGGAAGAAAAAAGAAGACTGCTAAATAATACTATTCAAGGTTGTAATTCTGAAATAGTTCCCTAAACTGGCACACTCAGGCCAAACTTCCCCTCTAATATAATACCAGTATAATTCCATAGATTCAGTGAGATGCATGTGATTTTCATTGATCTGCACAGCAGAGAGTGACCAGAGACATGGAAACAAGGATTTCATCTGCTCATACGGGATCTGGCCCTGCAAAGGTTCTGAAATGTGCCCATTTTTCATCCAGCATTTTGAAGATCCTTAGTACTTCCGATACCAAGTTGAGTAAATTGCAGGTTCTGCCCCTCGCCACACTGTTCTTGACAGAGCCTAAAATTAACAACTGAACAGAATTGTTTTTCATTATTTCCCAGGAGGCAATGAAGCAGATTCTTAAATTAAAAAGACACTGTGGTCATGCAGACTGTTAATCTCTAAAACAGGATTTCTTATATTTCTACAAAAGGTATTGTTTATTTTTTTTCCAGACAATATGAAGGATAACCCAATTAATCTTTGAAGTAATTTAAAATATGGGAAAAACACAATTTCTAAAGGGTTACATTTGAAAATTTCCAGTTACATAGGTATTCAGTGAATCATAGTAGCCTGTATTTACTACAATGCCATTTTAAAAGCATTTATAAATATTGAAAGTATATAGACACCCCTAATCCCTATTAAAATTTCAAAAGCAATTTAGAAAATTAACTTCAAAACACTTATGGATCTGAGCCTTTTTCACTAGCACAAAGTCATTTAGGAAGGATTCAAAACAAAACTAATGTGGTTCTAACTAGATTGCATTGCCTGAGAGCAATCTACACACATATTATGAATTTTGTTTAAAATTATAAAGTTATTTTGAAGTGATTAAAATTGTCTTACAAGTCCTCTTTAGTCAGTATATTTTTGCCTTTTCTGCCAAGACACTCACGTGTGCTCTCACAAAAAAATAGCTGCTAAGTAGAAAGCAACCAGTATTGGCACAGCTGAAGCTTAGGAAAAATCAATCTTGCTAGAAGCATTGCCACCAGCTACAGCTTGTAACAATGAAAAATAACATGGTATGAACAAAGTTTCCAGGCATTAGAAGGACATAGAAATAGAAAGAAGCCTTAGAGATACAAAATTTCAGGTTATGGCATAATTTTGTAAATTCGTGTCATGATCACAGGAAGCTTATGTTTAGTTCATCTAATAAAACAAAGGTATTTTTCATGTATATGTTTCCTTAAACTTCCCACACACACCCTGAAGAGTTTAAAGCATAAGAGAACTTTACTAACACAGTCTCTCAGGGTAATCTCATGACTGGCCAGATGTAATTAATTAGTAATAAATAAATGGCTAAGCAACCATGAAAACAACTAAAATTAATAAGTAGTTTATATTTATAAAATTATGTTATATATA